GTCTCTGGACCGCATATGATAAATTTGCTAAGACGTAAACCACAGCTGAGCTGTTACATTAGATTTGGTCTAAAATTGTTATTATGCCATTATTTTATTCATTGCAAAAGAGGCTGATTTTGCTTTATTATCTATTTGATTGAATGGCATCGCCTCTTAAATGATCCTGAAATATATTTAATAAATCTATTTACTACGGGATGGCATTCTCTCGAAGGGTCTTTGCCTAGTTTGTGTGTGTAAGAGGACGAGAGTGAGAGAGATATAGAGAAAGCTCTCGAAATGCTCTATTTTTTGTTTATAAGTAGAGTTTCGGGACTACCAGTAAATCGGTAATATGAGATGTGTCCATCCCAATTAATTTTAGGTCAGAAGGACTGGCAGTTGGACTTTCCCACATATTTTCACTGAATTTCACACAATCTTGCTTTCCCAAAAGACATTCTCAACTCGACTGAAGTGGACTAAAGTTTCGACCTCGTCTCAACTCGTCTCATCAGCACCTCCAGGCATTTCCCTATATCACATTCTGTGGTGGAATTGCCGATAAAGCAAAGTTATATTTGTTATAATAATCAAATTTATTACTTACTTGCGGTTTATAAGTAGGCTTTCTAGACTTCTATCAGATTATTTGTATGAAATGCGTTCACCTTATTTCGTTTAAGGTGAAGAAGGACTGGTAGTTTCCGCTGGGAGTATTGATAAGACCTTAGCGAGGTTGAAACTGTAGTCCACTCCAGTCGGGATGAGAATACCCTTTTTTGGAGGCAAGGTTAGGTGAAATTCAACGAAGATGTAAGCACTACTCATATCATTGTGGGCAAATTCAGCTACCAGTCCTTTATCATCTTAAAATGCCCTATGCCCCAAAATGACAGGGCTTGGGCAGGGTCGCTGAAAGAACATCTACCAAATTTATTCTCTGAGTGCATATTTTAGTTATTCGCTTTAATTGCTTTTTATTCCGTTCGAGCCTTTCTTTGGAGCGACCTGCCTCTTCCAGACCTTCTGTAGATAACTTTTTCTTGTGTTTTTCTGAATTGGCCCATTTGGCGATAGGCAACACGAAGCCGCGTTATGCTGTCTTCCTCGAGCGATGTGATGTGCTGTTGCAGATCGAGGCCTCCTCTGGTAGGTGGTACGAATCGGCCAACTTCTCCATCCAGTCTGCGTGGTCGGTTTCAGGCGGACACCGGCGAGACAAATCGGTACTGCATGAATGGCGCTTCCATCTACCACACAACCTGTGCTCATCCCGCCCCAACGAACGACCAACCACTTGGCATCACTACTCTTTGGTGTACAATCCACCTCTTTTCCCTCATTACAGTGGTCAGGACGTCAGTGATGCTGACTCTTTTGCCCAGGTAGGCGAGCTTAAGTTTGGAACTTACTAATTGCAATAACATTTCATATGCAGACTCTATTAACTCCTCATTCCAGACAATTAGGAATACAATTATGCAGCATTCTCTCCAAGCATATATACTTTCGGGTAACTCTTGAATCACTCTTTTAGTTCATAGTGATCACCACCACAGTTCATTGAAATAAAAAAGTAACTTCTATTGTCCCTCGTCAACACCAACCTATCGAGAATTATTGATAGTCCCGCAAACTACTGATATCTCAAATAAGTAACGTCGTCTATTTCAATGACAAACACATATTTGAATAATCTAGAACCATCTATAAATGTGAGTTAGGAGAGGTCTAGCTTGTCTTAAAGGTCGTAGCTGCCCTGTTACCTACTGGAACCTGAAGTCGTGTAATGTAATGAAGTACTCGAGATCCAGTATCAAATCCAGCTGGGGGAGTGGGGCTGATGAGGCTTAGACGATGTAGAAACTGCACTCTACTCAAGATGATATAGCCTTTTGGGGGCGAAGCCAAGTTGAATTTAATGTTATTCTGAGGCCTACTCATCCGGAAGTCACCTTAAGCATCCTTACTCGATTAAGTTCTTGCTAAAGAATTTCTTGTAGATTTAAAAACTACTTTTATCGAAAATAAAATCTACAAGGTCATCTGTTGCAATGCTAACTTACGAAAAGTTTAGAATTCTGAGTTGTTGCTCTAAATTTATAGCCTGATCATTCATTCTAATGCACAAAAGTAGTCTGGAATAATTTGGATTTCATTTTTTTCCTACATCATTCTGCGTTTTC